GATAAGCCACTTTCCCTTTCAAGCAATATATCATTGGATTCCCAAGCAATATCTCATCGACTAACTAGCCATAGGTGCAGTTAGTACGTATTCGGCATTAGCTGAGGGTTCAGAAAAGCGTGTAAACTTTCAGGAGGTCCCACATTCGAAAGCCGCCACACGTAAAATATTAAAAAGTGTTTGTAAAATTGTAAATAATTGCTGAATATAATATTTATTTTGCTTTCAGTAACTATAAAAAAGGATAAGTGAAGTTCATTAGTGGTGAAGAATGAACATCTTTTTCAACGGAAAATTAAATCGGAAAAATTTTAGAAAAAAAGCCGAAAACGTAACCGTTTCACAACCATTTTCAGTACTTTTCCGGACGTGCATACGTTTCTGCCACATACTTTCGGAATCGGTAAACGGTCAAAAATCCGCATTTAATCCACTTTTCTTTCCATTTTCGTATTCATTTTTAGATTTTTTGCTGGCTGGGTAGTTGTGCAAATGTATGTTGTATGATAGACAAACACCACACACCAAATACCCACCACACAACGCCACGGCGAGAGGTGTCATCATTTGCTACTTACAAGCGACTTAACAGGCGAAAAGACAAACTGCGAAACTATCACCTGTGAATTTTTGTGCGCGGCACTTTAGCCACTTTTCGTGTGTGTGTGTGCCTGTAGGTACAAATGTAAGTTTCAGTTTTTTGGCCTACACTTCTCTGTCGTTGTTCAATTGTACAGTATTCGATATCAGAGCTTAAAAACCATCGGTGGCGGCTGCCGGTTGTAGGCGGAATTCGGAGTGGAGATTTTAGTGACATTAAATTCTATTCGGTATATTTTAAGGCAGTTATTTTCGTGGTACGTAATAACTCTTTCGAATTAGTGATTCATATTTGAAAGACGTTTTTTGTAAAGGGCGCAAAAATTTCGATTTCTAACTGAGCAAACATTTGATTCACTACCTTAAACCAATGCTTGGTCAATCCAGTGCAAATGTTTATATGCTCGATCCATTGGCAGATACTTTGCCGTTCTTATACATAGTGGTTAATTATCGTCTCATCATTTTGTCGCGTCATCATTTTGTCAAAGCGTGCTTTGGAAGAATTGTGCCAGTTCGTGCTGTTGCATTTTTTTTTTACCGCTAATAGTTAATTACTGAGTGGTTTTTGTGTTTGCCCCAACATGTGCTTAAACCCATACCCAACTGGCCAGGACAAATTCGTACCAGCACAGATGTTTACACAAGTTTGTGGAATAGAACTTTGTTGTGTTAGCTGTTGACAAATTGAGGTTAAAAATCCTTATGGGTATCCTTGATGTGTCATTCAGTCGCTACTTTAGTTAATAAATGGTTAGCTCCGCAAATAACAAATTAATAATAACGGTGTTATATGTTTGATATTTATTTGTTGTACAATCCCTACAGTGGTGCAACTAAGTTAAATATTCGACTACGAAGCCAACGCAGTTTCGAATAATGTGATGCGAAAACAGGCATTAAGTTAAACGCTGTACTCGGCGGATAAAAAATTAAAAAAAAAAATGTACGAAGTAAACAATTTTCAAGCAAAGTTTTGCCAGCAAAGTGTTCACAGCATAGTGATCTATATAACAAGTAAAAACTACGAACATACGACTTTAAAGTTTTCAGTTAAGTTTTTCGAATAGAACCAAAATAAATACAACATAATTATAACAAATAAAAAACTATTTACACATACCAAACTATAGCTTTTAAATTTAAATAATAAAAAGGACAAAGCTGATATGAAACCTTATTCTGTCAAGTCCAGCGAGACTTATTGGAAAATCTGCTAACGAGAAGACCTTAGAGTTTCTCTGCGCGTCCTTAAGCAATGAGTTTTTTAAAAATTAAATAAAAAAAAATAACTAAAAAAATATATATAATTTTCTTTTTAAAACAATAAAAACTAATAAATAAAAGAAAAGAAAGAAAAAAATAAGAAATATGTGAAATAAAAGTATAGCAAAAATAAATAAAAGTATTTTTAAAAATTAAATCAAATTATATAAAAAGCCTTTTTGAATGCAATGGAAAAGTATTTTGCTGATTGTTGTCTTGGATACACAAATAACTCATCCGCGGACCATAAATAATATTCGGCGTCATATTAATGGCACTGGTTTACATCAAAAATGCACACTGCCCTATCCAATTCCTATTTAGAGCTGCTCGCAATTTACCGTTATTCAGTTAAATGAAAGCAGTTCCACTTAATCACGAATATCCTACGCAGCAAATGAAGCTGAGAAATCAATTAATCATTTCAGATTTTTTTTTTTTATTAAAGAATAAATAAGATACAACAAATTCTGTGTAAACTTTTTCCAATTGTCGCCAAAAATTCAAGCTACTAATGAAAATAGATCGATGGATAAATACAAAAGGACGAGTATTCAAATGCGCAATAATTTTTTTGTATGAAATATGAGCAGGACAGAATGTTACTCATACGCCATGTACATTCTTTTATGCAACGATTTTGTACAATAGTAGTTTGAGTCTTTTTACGGAATGTTAGCGCGCACCGCTAACCACTACACTCCAGCGGCCGTCCGAAAAATTATCCATAGAAAAAAAAATTAACTCGATTTTCGGAATTAGTGAGCGATTCTACATAGGCATTGGGTAAGGGCATCCGGTGAATAAAAAAATAAAATAAAAATTTGTGATCAAGTGTAATCAGTCAATTGCCAGAAGAAGCTATAATAGCTCGAAAACAAAAATTTTATAGTTTTGGATGTTTTGATGTTTTTGCATACTGTGCGTTTGAACACATAAAACAACAACAAAATTATTTATGCCATCTATGCGCCATGCTAGACAGTATGCAACGGATCGAGAATACCCCTAGTGTACGTATATATATTTTGATGCATCGAACCAAAGGAATACATCGGTGTAATTTTTCCACTAACATCCAGCATTTTGGTACAAAATAATATTATTATCAATTGTTTGGAAATGTACCATTGGCTACAGTACCTACCCACCTTTTTTGAACTAATAAATTTTTTTTTTTTTATAAATACATACATGCAAACATATTGGTCTCCCCTCTCACTGAGTTATTCAATCATGAAAGCTGCGATAAATCACTAACTACTAAAGCTAATTCACTTAAAATCGATGACTTCAATAATCACTTAGCAGAAAGTTTGATAATCATTAATCGATTAATCAATCTCTACCAAACTCAGTGCACTTAATAATCTTGGTACGGAAAAGTAATTCGTTGAAAATTATTTAAATCGGACTAAAATTACACCCGTATAACGGTATAAATACGAAAACTCCGATATTTCAATAATTGAGGACGCTAATTTACTCCAAGATAGTAGTTACAACAATCTCTTGACAATAAATAAGACTGATACATACTTTTAAGGGTTGGGCGTGGCACCGCCTACTTTATGACTACAAAGGTGTATCTCGGTAACCGCTTTATTTCGCTCTTTTCATTTATTAATTTATTGGAGCTCAATAAAGTTGCGTTTACGCGGGCGACGATTTTCAATTCGATTTTTGTCGTTCAACCAAAATCGAACCGTGTAAAAGGCAATTCAATCGTAAATGTAAGTGCTTTGGCTGGTCGATTTTCCAGTCGACAGAAATCGACCCCTTGTAAAGGTAGCTTAAAGGCTGTAAAAGTGAAAATTTTCTGATTCTTAATAGACTTCAGTAACTGAGGCAGAACTTCGAATAACCGTTTGTATTTTATTGTTGTGACTTATGCGACCATATGCACCAGATTGTGATAACCTTTACTGTACAAATTATTAGTGTACAAACAATGTATGCATGGACACTCGACTCATCCTCAAAATTCCACATTTCCTCCTCCGTCTCAACCAAAGAACACCGAAAAGACATTCATCTATTCCACACGAAGATCAACTACTCGCAAGACCCCATTAGGTATTTGAAAAGACGAAAAACCGTCTTAACTGTCTCATTCTGCATCAAAAATTCAAAATTGAAAAAAGTGGACTTAGCACATTTGCACTTTTAGGTAGCGAAAAACATAATTTTATTTTTGAAAAAAAGAAACTGTACATTTTTATGAAAAGTTACAAATTTTTCGTATCGAATACGAGGAAGTATAAAGTATGCCTCAGTACGCTTGACCTGTAAATACAAGGGGGTCTATTTGATTCTTATCACATATGAATCCAAAGTGTGTCATTTCACTGAACTACATATGTATACGGCCTACTTCTTTCAGACTCACTACCTCGCAACTGGATGATGTCAACTTCATATCTGGTGACGATCGTCAGCGTTCTGCAGTTGCTCAGCTACGCAGATACGATTTTCATTTGTAAGTTAATTAACCAAAGGTACACATTCTTCCCTATGCCCAATCGCATTAAATCTATGCTTCACAGCTTATGAAGACGCTCGCAAAGCAGTTATACAAGCCGAGGATCAGCTGATTGTCGGCGCCCGCATACATCTCAACGATATGGAGGATAAGGTCAATGACATGTTTATGCGCTACAAGTATGACGAATTGGGTGCAGGATTCTACGATCCGGATGTAAATGCAGCTGGATTGCATTTCTTCAAGGGCAAGAAGCTCGTCGAACAAAGCAAGGTGTTGAAATTTCTCAAGCGCATGCCGAAGGGTGCCATTTTGCATTTGCACAACACGGCCAGTGTTAGCTCCGAGTGGATGATGCGCAACATTTCCTATATGCCAGGCTTGCTGCGCTGCACCAACAAAGAGGGTACCAGCATATTGAGTTTTCGGCGGACGGCACGCGATCACGGCTGTGCGACGCAGTACGTGCGTGTAAGTGATGAACGTGCGCGATCGCTTAGTCCAGCTACGTACGATCGAAGTTTTGAGAAGTTGATCAATTTGTATACGCCAGTACCGGAATGTGAGTAAGAGTTTGTGTTGTTAGACTATTGGAAAATGTGTGTTTTCTGGAGAGTAAAGAACTTTTCTAACTAACCCTTGACAGATGATTATCCGACGATCAAGCATGTGTGGCGCAAGTTTCAGAATATGTTTGCGACCACCAATGATGCCCTGCGCTATTTGCCGGCATTTCGTGCCTATAGTTGGCGCATGCTGGAGGAAATGTACGAGGATAATGTGATGTATGCGGAATTGCGCATGGATTTTAAGGAGGTAAGGGTCTGGCAGGCAAATATGGAAGCAGTATGGCCAGGTTAATGGACTCACACTGACTTAGTTTAACCACTTATTTTAAGCAACTACTCACTCGATCAAAAAACAAACGGAACAAATGTGGTGCGGTTTCTCATGCCCAGTTAAGCGAACACCACTGCACTTAGGCTGAACCCACACGGAAGAGGACACGTTTTTCTTTGTCGGCCGACAAGAAAACATTTCTTTTTTGTATCCCATTTGTGTCGTGTTACGACTCATTTGGTTTGAGTTGAATAATAAGAATTAATGCACTCTTGCTCTATACGACACCAACAAACATTTTGTCGTCTTCGGTGTGGGATCAGCCTTACATTAAAACTATTCTTTTGTGCCAATTTTCAGTTGTACGACTACAGCGGCCGCACATTTTCGTCAGAACGCACAGTGCATGAATTGCTGACCATTGTCGAGGACTTTCGACGTCAGTATCCAAGTTTTATGGGCGTCAAGGCGATTTTCTCAACGCATCGCGATGTTGAACGCACTCGTGTCTCTGAAAAGTTCGAAAAGTTCAAGAGCTTGCAGTAAGTTATCGAGATATAGACAACCAATAATAGATCAAAATTTTTTTCTTTTAATTCTCCAGCAAGGCGCACACTGATTTCATTATCGGTTTCGATTTGGTCGGCCAGGAGGATCGTGGTAAGCCGCTGCACAATTTCGTAGCTGAATTGGCGGATTTACCGCGGAGCGCGAAGTACTTTTTCCATGCAGGCGAGACGAGTGAGTGCTGCTTGTTTTACTCAATTTTAGCTCAATGTTACCAACATATTTATACATATAGTAGTACATACATATGCTTTACCACGCATACTTTCTTCTCGTTTTTAGATTGGTATGGCGCCGCTACAGACATGAACCTCCTAGACGCTCTATTGCTCAACACCACACGCATCGGTCATGGCTATGCATTGCTAAAGCATCCAGTATTGTGGAACGCAGTCAAGAGACGCGACGTTGCGATCGAAGTGAGTCCCATATCGAATCAAGTTTTACATCTGGTCACCGATCTGCGCAATCATCCGGCTAGTTTTTATATGTCTCAAAATCTGCCAATGGTTATCTGTAACGACGACCCCGGCTTCTGGGGTACCAAAGGTCTAAGCTACGACTTCTACTACACCATTATGAGTTTGGCACCAAATCATGTGGGACTGAAAACACTTAAGGGCCTTGTTTGGAATTCGATACGGTACTCAGTTATGAATGAAAACGAAAGCAGGACGGCCTTTGAGAATTTGGAACTCGCCTGGGAGCGGTTTGTCAGTGATGTGGTACAAGGAAAAGTCTTTTGATTTATGTACTCTTACATAGTTACAGATTCACCTTACGCTAAGTTAGGTCATTATGTGATTATCAGATGTTAAAATGTGAATAAACAAAGAAGTAGTTATTTTTACAAAAAAAAAAAACAAAAACTTTGATTTTGACATTTGTCTTTAATTGGGGTATTTAGGCGCGAATGCTAACCCTGAGCGCCTTAATGCATGCTATGTACTACTGCATGTGCAAGAATTTCCTATATTCAATTTATGAAATTTTTGGTTATGCACTTCTCAACTGCCATCTAATAAAACTTTCTTATTGTATTGTAAATGTGTAGCCCAAATATATGTGCTCAAAAAACGCGGGTGGAATTTTGTAGTTCTTAAGTCAGGCTTGTTGGTTGGTTTAAGCGGATTGTCACATTGGCGATAGACAATTGGCCAGTTTTGCCGTTTCCATTCCACAACTCGAGCTACCGACAACTATTTGGCGGGTTTCAGTACGTCATACAGGGAGAGACAGCTGCACTCTGAAATATTCTGCAGGAATGGTTTACCGCGTGTCTTTAGCCTTATCCTCGCGCGAGAACTGGACCCTCGCACAGAAAGTGCTCGACTGTCTCCTTTGAGCTCAGTTTCCCGCAGCTGCGACAGAACCTATTGAAGGGTAAGCTTATCCTTCGGTAACGTGTCAGTGTCCTGTGCAGACTGCCTTAAGTTTGTAGGTATTTCCTTTGCTCATTCCCAAAAGAGATCTGGTTTTAAGAGTGGGTCCCGACCCAAACTTCAGAGCAAAACTATACGATACAGCACTGTTCCACCTCTGTCTAGCCTTCGAGTGATGAATTTCGGCAATTATGCCCTTGATCTGCCTGAGCGAGGCACACATGTCCACCACGTGCGACACATTCAGTGCATAGTCGCACCTTGCTAGTTTGCTCGCTGTTTCGTTTCTGTACATGTCCCTATGTCCCGGGCAGAGCTGTGTAAGTGTGAAATCATTTTCAATTTTAAATCAACCATTTTTTTTATTCAGTTTTCATTATTTTTTTAATTTTCCATTCACTCAAAGTAGTTATGAATTCACACATCAACATATTCATAGCAAGATTGAAAAACCAATGCCCAATCAAAAAAAGGTTTAACACTGAATGATTTTATATCATAAGTTTAAATATAATTCATATCTTATCTTGAAAACGTTTAAAATTTACATTAAATTAGATAACTACTTCGCAGCTTTACATGTAGGTTAATACAATTTTAGTGAAAATATTTTTAAAATCTCAGTGTCTTTAATAAAAAAAACAGCTCATCATAAAAATTGTATCGCCGTTCGGTGTCGGCGTAAGACTGTAGGTCCCTCCCATTTGTGTGACAGCAAAGGCGCACGCTACAAATCGGAGGAGAAGCTCGGCCAAACACTAACATATGTCGATGGTCCTCTGCAATAACGGCACAACTCAAAATTTCAGGTTATTGAGTTATATAGTAGATTAGGTTTATAAATAACCATATTCTTCTGAGGCAAGTCGACATAGGCTTTGTTGTTGCCAATCCGGCAGAGGCAAAGTTTTGCCATGTGGAATAAAACCGAAGTAGCCAATCCTTGCTACTGAATAGAGATGGTACGGGCCGGGCTTTTTGCGTAAGCCCGCGGGTACCGGCCGGAATATTTGCTGTCAGCACGAACTCGTGCGTGTTCAGTAAAATTTCATAAAAGCACGAATAAGCACGAAAAAGCCCGTTACTAATACTACAAATTTAGATAAGCTTTTGTTTTTATCAAAAAAAAATAGTACATATTAAAACTCTTTTGATAAGGAAAAGCAAAAAAAGAAATATTTGGAAACCGATAGAAAAAATAAGATACTTAGTAGTTTTGTTTACATATCTGCACATAAAATACCTTTCACTTCCACTCCCAGAAAATATATAATAAAAATCTTTGATGTAAAAAATGTATTCGCTTAAGTAAATATACATACATAAACACAAAATTAAAAATATGTACATATGTATACATCGAGTCGTGTGCGCAAAAAAGACGTATGAGCCAAAAAGTAAATTGTTCAGGAGACGGTTTTTTTTGAATAGCTTTGCATCCAGCTTATATATTGTCATGAAATTTGGTAAGTAACTTTATTTAGTTCTCTTGTATATAATGCAATAAATAGAATTTTAATATTCGTAGCATAAGGGTAGGTTTTGGCTCATACGTCTTTTTTGCCTGCACAAAATCAAGCTACTGTCTGATGATTTGGCTGTTACATCAAAATTTTTTTTCACATATGTTTATTTTCTTTATTTTGTACTTCAGATTATTTATTTTTACTCACATATATATCTAAAATTAAGTTAAATTCATGTAAAATTAAGTCTTTTAAGTTAAATTCATTGGTTTTCATAAAAAAAAGTTTTAAAAAGTGTAAAATTAAGTAAAATTATGTTTAAAACAAGGGAATTAAATCTATCAATATCAGTCTTCCTCTTGATCTGTCTCAGGAAGGCGATCCTTGACGTTCTCGTCGTGTTGCATATTTAAATACTCGTTGTGAAAATGTCGAGGTATTGTGTTATTTTCGCAAAGTTTTTTTAAATCTTTGTACTTCGTCGATGAAATTTCCAATTTATTCTTATACAGAGGAAGTGGTCCACTTGTTATTATATGAGTGTTGCGTCTTGACCGTGCGATGGAGTCCATATTAAAATTTTTAATTTCGGAATGATCACCGTATCCATGGTTAAGCTTAATAATAGGATTATTTTTCTCAAATGTTGCTGAGCGCAAAGTTGGAAACGATAATTTTTTTGAATTGGGGAACAGTGCCTGTGAGTATGTTTTCCAGTCTTTGAAGTCCCAATGATTCATGATAATACATTCATAATTAACAGGATTTGTTCTAGCGTTAGATATCATAGTGTACCATTCACTTGGAGCCCAAACGGTCCTATCTCGGACAAATGATTCGATAGTACTATGAATGGAATCAACGGGCATCATAGTATGTCCAGGTAATAAATATGTTACTCGTATATTGTTGATAAAATTTGAGTTTTCAAGGAAATATAATATCATAGCTAGCAAAGCTCTATTGTGATTTTGTCCTGCACAACTATCACAGTACAGGCTAATTGAAGAGTACGTGCTTCTTTCATCTACAAGTTGGATATAGCGAAATATAATGATCGAAATTTCATTACAACCCCTTTTGCCATCAGCTTCTCCCCACAAAAAGCAGTAACCATTCCGGGTGCCATTCTCATATATGCTTTCGTTGTAATATGCATATTTTCGTGAATAAAATAAGGTTACACTTTTCCCGTGAGGTGTATTCAAAACTTTTTGCAGGTCGAAGCTTGCACAAAGGAATGTCGGACTTGACGTATGAGTACTTTTTTTCTGTTCCTCTAAAAAAATTTCTTTAGACTTATTTTTGTCTTTTATGTGATTTTGATATGATTCGGTTTGCTTCAAGCTATGTTGGGCTTCATTATTCAAGTTATTATAGT